TGGTTCTTCTTGTGTCCCACAAAAGAGGGGGGGGGGGGGGGAGGCCCCTTGCCCAGAGTTAGTCTGGCTGTCCTGGCCGTGGCAGGAGCATTTGAGATGGTTGTTCATACTGAGCTGCAGGTGACACGAGCCGTGGCAGCCTTTGTTCCTCAAGCCACGTAGCTCGCTTCCTGAGCTTCTGCATGTCCCTCGTAGGCAGATCTGCCCAGCTGTATGTTGTGGCTTCTGCTGTGGCTTAGGAATGGCTGGGGATGCCCCAAGCTGTGCCTGTTGACCCTTGTCCTCAGTCAGTATATTGACTTCAATTCTTTCCTGGGAATGATCGGGGGGGGGGCGGGGGGGTCGGTTGGCCGCTTGCCGGAGAATGGAGATTGCCCAGCATTTGAAGGCTTGCTCAAGAGTTGATCTAAATATGCCATAAGGAAATACTTCATTTATTTGCGTTGTCCCCGTGTGTTCCTGTGTGTCTCTCTGTCTTCTCCTTCATTTCTAGCAGAAACAGTTTGTGAATTTGAAACAACTTCCCTTCTTTTAATAGATATATTGAACAGAGTCAACCCCAGTTCGTCACGTGTCGGATTGCAGAACGGAGCCCCAAAGAGAGGTATTCGGCTTATTTTCCTTCTTTTTAGGGGACTTGCAGGCTGAACCCCTTTCCGTGCTCCCGCTCATGCTCCCTCTGCTGTGATTCTGTGTGGCAGGTGCCGTGCCTGTCTCTCCAGGGTTCCAGTTGACCACCAGACCTGCAACCAGCACTCTGGCCGTTCAGCCGCAGCCCAGGGTCAGCAGCGTTTCGGGAACTGCCCAGGTCCTGCAGAGACCCCTGTCAGGATGCCCCTCGCCTCAGGAGGCAGCCAAATCAAGCGCTGGCCTGTCTCAGCCAGTGGGCAGACCTGCCATGGCACCGTCTCTCTCCCGGAACCTCAGCATCCCTGTCCAGGCTCAGTCGACATCTAGGCCAGTGGCTACCGTCACGGCACAGCCAGTAACGTTCAACCGGGTAGATCTTGTCTCTTCTCTGTGTTACTCCAAAGAGAGGTTTTGTTTGGCTTCTGTGCGGAGAGGTTCCCACGGCAGGTTCCTCATGGCTGACTATCTGTTCAAGCCGGGGTGGGGAACATGTCGCCTTCCAGCTATCATTGAACTACGACTCCTATGATCCTTTACCTTTGGGCCACCGGACTGGGCCCCATGAGAACATCTGGAGCTCACCTATTCCCCTCACATTCCCAGAAATGAGTGTAAACCAGAAGGCATTTGTTAGCTGTACGGCGGGTGTCGAGAGATGCGGCGTGCCATGAAGTTATGAGAGGAATCCTACCTGTTCAAACAACTGACACAGTCGTAGGCCTGAATTGTTTACCAAACTCAGTTCGTGCCTTAAAGTGCTTCCCTGCTGATTTTGCCATAGATTTAAAAATGAAAAGCCCTTTGATGATCATAAAATGGTGGCAGCCAGGATTTGTAGCTGGGAAAGAGTGATGGGCTGCCTTTGGCTTAGTTAGGATGGGGTGAGAAAAGGGGGGAGGTGGCAGGGGGTAACAATAGGCGGCAAGGAAGGATCTGAAGACAGGAAGACAGGGGCATGGTGTCCGCCTTCCAGGCAGCCTCTGTAGGCGTGTGAGGGAGAAAGGCGAAAAAGTCTTGTCAGGGAACAAAAGATCTTTGAGCACTTCTGGATGGCCGTCCGGCTGGAGAGGTGGAAGTCCTGGGCAAAAGTGTGCAGCCTCTTTGAGAGAGAGGGGAGCTGTTGTAATGTTGTTGTTAAGAGCCCTAGGCAGGGACGTAGGAGGCGAGGGTTGAGCTCACCCGTGAGCGAGGCACAAAGTGAGCGTTGGGTCAATTGCACGCTTTGTATCAGCCTGGCCTACTTTGCAGGGTGGTGGTTGTGTGAATTCCTGTGGTGTGTGTGTGGGGGGGGAGGGGAGACACAGTTTGATACTGGTTTGCTACGTAGACCGTCTAGCCCTGCTGTGACGTTGAGTTCATGGCAGGGAAAGTGAGGTGGAAAGGTAGCGAAGCGATAAGCGCAGAGGAGCAGGGGAGGGGCTGTGCAAGGAAGGTCAGGGACCCCATTTCTGGCAAGGAGGGCCTTGCAGTATGAATTTCTGCATGTGAAAGAATTTCTCCGCCCAAACGAGGGGGTTGGCTTGTCTGGTTGACATGCTGGCCCTGCCAAACAAGGAATTTATTCTTGCTCATTTTGGATTTGGAAAAGAGAGCTTTTGGTATTAGAAGATCTTCTTCTTCTCCAAGTTAATTTGAAACTGAATGGGTAAATTCTCCACAGGGTACACCAAGTAACACCTCAGGCGTAACCTTCGGATCAAGGCAGAATTCGGGAGGACCTCAATGCCAAAGCGGACCGGCTGTGAATACAACAAGTGAGTCTAAAGATATTTCCCAAAAACCATGTCATTCCAGAGCTGGTAGGTATCCAGTGGTCATCTAGTCCAGCCTCCTGCCGGGGCAGGGGAAGTCCACTGCTCAGGTCTCCTTAGCACCCCATGGCCATCCAACGTCTTTTAACAGATTTGCTGTGAAGGAGGTGCTGAGGTGGACCATTTATTCCCCTGTTGGAACAGCTCTCACCACCAGAAAGTGCCTCACCCTGATCATGTTTAGGTGGATTTTTGTTTTATCATTTTTGAATTTAACAAGTGTCCTGTCAGTTAAAAGAGGTGTTTGATCCCGAAATGAAAAGAAAACTTAGAGCTTTCAAAACAACAACACACACACACCAGAAGCCAATGTATTTCATTAACCTCTTGATTTAGGAAAAAAAACAATTTAAACAACAGTGCATGACATTGTTGCCACAGGATTTTGATGGTCAAGACTGTTCAGAGACAGTCTTTGCAGGGCTGCAGGCAGGGCTGGCCGGCTGCTTGAGGACAGAGAGTGCAGGGCCCAGCGTCACGGATACCACCGTGGGCGTTCCCGTCTCCTCGTGGCTGTTGCCAGCATCCTCTTGGGGGGTGGAGGATGCTGATGGCTGTGGAACAGGCTCAAGGAAAGGCACAGCCGCTTTCGCCTTCCTGTGAGGACCTGGTGGACTTTCCTTCTTGGCTGCTGAAGAGATGCTCATTCTAGCCTGTGATGCTTCTGTGGGGGCCATTTGAGGAAATACTATGACTAGCCTGGGCTTGGAGGTACCAGTGCAGTTAGCAGGAAGAAGATGTTAAGCAACGCATGTGGGCTGACTGCTTAAACTGCTTGCAGGTTTGCCCAAGCGGCCTTCGACTTCGGAAGCCAACAGTGTCAGTCCCAAGAAGGCGAAGGCTAGCGAAACGGGATCCGGGAGTGAGTCGCCTGGATTGCTTCTGGCTCAATCTTCCAGTGACCCCTCCTTGCTTCAGAAAGGTAGGATGTGTTGTGTGGTTTAGGGAGGGTATGGTATTAAAAAGGAGACAAGCCAGCACTGCTGGGAGGGCAACAGGTATCGTCCTTCCTGGACAAAAATACTATTTGTTCCAAGCATAAGACCTGCTTTCTGGCACCATGAACGAGTGTGTCGTGGTCTCTCTCTGCGCTTCTGGCCTGCATGGCTAGTAAGCCGCAGGCTCGCTGTTTCCACCAACTCCCAGAAGGCCAGCCTGTGCCACTAGAGGTGACAGGAAGGTAGCAAGTGGTTTTATGGGAAGCGGCGGCGTGCAGGTATCCTCTCGGAAAGAGCTACGGTGCTGTCGCGCTTAGAGTGCTGGGATCGGCCTCGGAGGACCTGGCCTCTGATCCCCCATTTGGTTGTGAAGCACACAGAAGGGCCCCTTTGGCAAGTCGCGCGCTCTCAGTCTGATCTTAGAGGCTCTGCATGCCGATAGATTGCCCAGAAGGGCTTTTGAAATATATTTTCTTCTGCTCCCAGGAGGAACGGCAGAATATCAGACAGAGGAATTAAAAGCCATAACTAAAGGAACACCTGCTCTAAAGCAAGTTGCACGGCAGAGGCTATATACACACATATATGCACACATATACGTACGTATATACATACATACACGCATGCATATATATGTGTGTGTGTGTATGTATGTACGTATATGTATGTATATATGTATGTATTTATATGTGTGTATATACTGTATATATATACGGTATATAGACACATACATACACATACATGTATGTGTGTATGTGTATATATATGCATATATATATATGTACGCAGGAACATGCTCCTCTGTTTTCCTTGCTCAGCTGGAGGTGTTTGGTTTTTTTTTAATCTGTGGCGAGTGATCTTAGAGGCTCTGCATGCCGATAGTTTGCCCAGAAGGGCTTTTGAAATATATTTTGAAATATTCTCTTACGGTGTTACTTGTGAGAGACCACTTTTGTTGGTGAACATCTTGGCCATGGTTACTCGAGCGGCCAGTTACAAATGTGTACCTTTGAAAGGATGGGGGTGAGCTGTTGCCCATCAGATAACGATATGTCTCTTCCCTCCCCCCAAAGGCACCACATCAAGCAGCATTAAAAATGGAGCACCTTTCCCGCAAGCGTGTCCAAAATGTAATATTCATTTCAATCTTCTGGAGCCATTAAAAAACCACATAAAGGTATGTAGGTGTCTTTGCAGAGGTAACAAGATACATTTGTAAATGAGAAACATCATAAATGTGGGTGCCTTTAGAGACAATGAAACATTGGATTTGTTGTGCTTCAGCCCTCGGTAGTTGTGCTGTGGTTTCTTGATGGTGGTCCTTTGAATGATCTCTTCCTTTGAAAACAAAAGCTGCACTGCCATGTGACTTGTATTTTGCATCTATGTTTTGTAAGATATCTTGCTGTTTGCCTTGTGTAAATATTTTAAATGTTCCCAGGCCTAGTTTTCTCTATCACTCACATGCTTCTCTTTCTAGCAGTAGTATGTTTTTATGAATGGGGAGATTTTTTGCAGAAAATACAAGCTCAGCTGTGCACGCCGTGGTTCTCAGCCTGGGTTCCCCCGATGTTCTTGGACTGCAGTTCCCAGAAGCCTTCATCACTTGTGCTGCTGACCAGGATTTCTGGGAGTTGCAGTCCAAGGGCATTTGGGGACCCAAGTTTGAGAACACAGTCAGAAAAAAATATCCTGGAGTGTTTCATCAAAGTGCAGAATTCTGTATCCCTGAAATTTGCTGTCTTTTTTCCTTGATCCCTATAAGCACTTTCTTAGTGCTCTTCATATTTTATCTTCTCTTTTAACATACACAGTTCTAGAAGTTGATGTTGATTTCACTGTCATTGTTACATAATGCATAGTTAGCTAAACTTTTCTTTTTAATAATTGATTGTTTGGGGAATTAGAGACTCTCATCGGGACTTACACTAGGCATAATTATGAATTTAAGTAATAAGCCGCTATGGTTCCTGGGTGTTTGCTTAGGGATCAGCTCTTTGACATATGTGGCCCTTCTGCTTCCTAACACGCCTGCCTGCTTGCTTGTCTGCCTCTTCTCTCCTTTAGCGAGCTGCTCTGTGCGCAAATGCCAGAGATTGGGGGGAGGGGGGTTAGCAGAGAATTTCTGCCTGGTTCTGGAGAGTTAACTTTATGGGAGGAGGCCGTGTTGTTGCTGTCCTTTCAAGGGGCTTCTCTTTCAGTACTGCTGCCCAGACATGGTGCCTGCCTTTCGGGGTGGAACCCAGATGGACTGTTCGGGGACACCAGCAAAAATGGCTGAAGCAGAATCAGGGAAGCTGATCATGCTGGTTAACGACTTCTATTACAGCAAGCACAAGGGGAACGTCCAGCTGGTCCGCCAGGAGCAGAAGACTCACACCACCTACAAATGTGCCAGCTGTATGAAGCTCCTCAAGAGCAACCTCAGGTAAAGGCTCTCCTGGAAAAAGGGTTCAGGCTCAGTCCACAAAAGGTCCGAGGTGGGGAGCTGTGGCTTCCCCTCCGAAGCGTGCTCCTCGCTCCATTTCGTTTCTTGAAGCCTCCGCTTCGCAAAAGGGCTCCCCCCCCCGCCCTCCAATTTCAGTTTGGAGAAGGGTTTTTCCATGGCCGGAAGCGGGGGGTGGGTAGGGGGGACACTCTCGTCGTACTGACCAGTATCCAGACCTCGCGTCATTTTTCCGCTCTCTGTTCATAACATGTAAAATCCAGTTGGTGGTTATCATTCTGAAATGGGGGGGGTAGTGAAAGGGGGCCTGTTCCCCCTCTTCCCCCTGTGGGTGAGGAGTTGACTGGCCAGATTTGCCACCGGGAACCCGTCAGTGGGCCTTCGTTGGGCATCCTGCCCCCCCCCCCCCCCCCGGCAGCAGCTGCCGCTCACCTTGTCCCATTGGCTCCAGAGGAGTGGATTGGGCTGGATCTCGGTGTGCCTGAGCCAGACCCGTGGGCTCTTTTCTCAGGTTTATGAACCACATGAAGCATCACCTAGAGCTGGAGAAACAGAACAGTGAGAGCTGGGAAAGCCACACCACCTGCCAGCACTGTTACCGGCAGTTCCCGACCCCCTTCCAGCTCCAGTGCCACATCGAGAGCACCCACACTCCGCACGAGTCCTCAAGTAAGTATTACTATTGCTATTACTATTACTGTTTCTAACAATCCTGTTCTGTGGGGAAAGTCTGCCCCTTTGGGCCAGGATTTCCCAGGAAAGACTGTCCGGCCCAACACTCTTGAAAGGGGACACGAAAAGGGCTTGGGAGTTGCGTTTCGACGGCCAGAGGATGCACGCTCACATTCCTAGGATCCTGGTGAAATTCCCTCAGAGTGTAAGAGGCAGCTCCACACCTTCCTCACAGAGCTTGCATGGATGGCTGCACGAGGAACTTCAAAAAGCAAAATCAAAGAGCCTGCCTTTTTTTTGAGCCAGGGAAGGAAATGTGTGTGGAGAAGATCTCTTTCATAAAGTGGTTTTTCTGTGATAGGCAGAAGGAAGAGGGGAGGGAAGACAAGGAGGACCAGCAGAGCCTTTGCAAAGCGAAAACGTGGTTGTCCTGTTTACACTAAGTGGCATCCGGTCCGTGTGGGTGGAGGGCTGGACTGCAGAGGGGGAGAGAGGGAGGGAGAGCAAATTGACCTGCAGAGAGGATGTTCTGGGAACTTCGTCTCCCTCCTCTGGCCATCGGATTCATACCCTCCCATAGTAAACAAGATGTGAGCGGGCGGGGGGGGGCTTGGGGGCTCTCTGCACCTTCCCTTCCCGATGCATTCATGGGGATTTGAAAGTGAGGCAGAGGGTGGCTGGAATCCACGTGGAACCAAATTCAGTCAAGGGAACCTGTCGGAAAGGACTTGGAGGAGGGTTTGTCTTGCTTTCTTAATCTGAACTTCCAGCCGCCACCTCCACCCAGTGGGTCATTATAAAATGGTGACTGAGCGGTTGTCGCCTCACCACAAAGATTGCACAAGGCACGTTCTTTTCTAAAAGTTCAGCTCTGGTTTCTGTTCTTTTCTAGCCATATGCAAAATATGTGAACTGTCATTTGAAACGGAGCAGGTTCTTCTGCAGCACATGAAGGACAACCACAAGCCTGGGGAGATGCCTTACGTCTGCCAGGTAGGTCTCTGTGTGCGCTTCTTGGTCCGTGGCTGGGTCAGAGGGCCCTCGCCTCTCAGTGTCGCTATGAGCCGTTCTCTCCCTATCCCTCATGTCTAGGTGTGCAGTTACAGATCGTCAGCGTTTTCAGATGTGGAGAAACACTTCAGAGCAGTTCACGAAAACACGAAAAACTTGCTCTGCCCCTTTTGCCTTAAAGTTATTAAAATTGGGGCACCCTACATGCACCATTTCATGAGACATCAGGTAAGGATCTGTCCTCCTTGGCTTGTCAGCTGTGGGCAAGAAGATGTCCCCAAAAGGCGTCCTCTTGTCTTTTCTTTTTGTATCCTAATCCTGATAAGCAGGTGCCAGTTAATCCTTATATTACCTGTGACCAGGTGTGTGTGTGTGTGTGGGGGGTTTCCACAGCTTTTGCATGGTCTGGCATTTTCTTTTGCACACATAAATATGTTCTGTGTGCATGGATGGCACCATTAATTAGATGTCATTTTATCTGAAATCTGTTTTCCTTCTGCCATGAGAATTTGAGTTCATTGTTGTTTTACATTTTTGTTTTAAAGAAAAAAGGAGTGCATCGGTGTACCAAATGTAGACTCCAGTTCTTGACATGCAAAGAAAAAATGGATCATAAATCTCAGCACCATCGGACTTTTAAGAAACCTCCTCAGTTGGAAGGGTTGCCTCTGGGAACCAAAGTAAGTCTCAAGCCTCTTCTGGCATTGATCTGGAGAGCAGCTGGAAGTGAACAGTCAGCAAACGTGGGCTGGACCTGCAGTAAAGAGGCCCTCCCATCTCTGGCTGCTGGAGACCTGCTGGTGCACAGGGCTGGCCGGTCAAGCTCTGTTTCCCGGACGTGCTGGTGACCATAGCTAAAGACCTGGTCTTGGAAAGGTTGGCCGAGGCTCAGCCCTGGTGCCTTGGTCCCCTGCTGGTCGTGGCTTTTTCTTCCTTTCCCGCTCCTGGGCACAAGGGCACCAAGAGGCCTGGCCCAGGGGAGATGTGGGCGGGGGGCGGGGTGTTCCCTGGTGGACGCCGTGAGATCCAGCAGAAGGAAATCCTGCCCATTACTTTTTCGGTAAAAACAAACAACACATCCTCCAGCTGGCAGCCGTCATCCTGGATGGGCCTTTTCTCAGCTCTGCAAAGGTGGGTTGGAAAGCATCTGCTCCGAGAGCCGGTTTGCCAGGCTTGAGGCTCCTCCTGGCGGTTGGATTGCTGTTGCTTGGGACACTTGCTCCCTGACAGAGGCCACGGTGGGGCTTGACCCAGGTGGGCTCCTTAGGATGATTCCAGGAGCTCCACAGGGCAGAAGAGGTGTTCCAAAGTCTCAGTGCAGACGCAAGAAAGAGGGGGAAAGGAAGGGCTGAGGCAGCATCTGGTCTGGGATGGCCTGTGAAGCCGGACTCGAAACAACCTGCAGGGGACCTGATGGGAAGGCGTCTCGTTTGTTCCGCCAGAGGGTGAGGTTTCCCGTGGCCTCAGAGGTCAGAGAGAGAGAGAGACTCCTGGCGGGGGGCGGGGGGGGGGAGGCCAGCCTGATTGACTGAATGCTGTGCCAGATGCTTGCTGCCAATGTGTGGAGATGTGTGTGTGTGTGTGTGAAGAGGCAGTGGCTACCTGAGCACGCCGAGCGTGCTTATGCCTTGCGGGGTGCAGACGTCGGCTGGTGTCGGAGGACTGCTGGCTTTGTCGCTACGACACTCGGCCAGGGCGCAGACAGTAGACCGCCCCGGGCGCTACTGTCTGGTGCCGTCCACCGGTTCCTCCGTCGTGGTACTTGCCCATCCATAACAGTCGGGGCGGTCGGATGGGCGTGCTTTTGTGTGGGTGGGGGAAAGATGGAGAGCTGATGAGGTGCCCCCTTCGCAGGTGACCATCCGGGCGTCCGTAGGGTCCCTTCCTCCTACAGCCACGGCAGCGCCGGCCGTGTATGCAAACGCCTCCGCCTTCCCGCTGTCCCCTGTGGCCAAAACGCCAAGCACCAAGAGTTTCTACAAAGGAAGCGCAAACAAAGCCAAGTCAAAATTGAAGCCGCTGAGCCTTCAGAAGAAGCAGAGCGTCGGGAGCAGCAGCAGCGGCAGCAGCAGCAGCAGCAGCAGCGGGAGCAGCAACAAGAACAACAAAATTGCAAATGCAGCATTAAATAACCTTCGGTTAGTCTCCCCGCGGCATGCAGTTCGGAGAGGTGCATGGGAGAGATTTGAAAAAATTGAGAGAACTCGAGTGCTGGCTCCAGGCGGGTGGGTTGGGCCCTGCCGGTGGTGTTTTTAATCTGTGCAGGATCTTCCTGTCGGGTCTCCTCCTGGACAAGAATAAAGTGCATGCGGGGGGGGGGGCTCACTTCTAGGGATGCAGCAGCTGGCCTGGCATTCCCCTCCCTTTCCGCTCCCAAACCGGATCAGCCAGAGGCAGGAGGTTCTTGCAGGGGCTTGAGGCAGGGGGGCAGGATGGACAGGGGAGCTGTTTTGAAGCCCCCAGCATCTCCGCGCTGGCTCACCGGGGTGGTGGTGGCATATGGCGTGCTTAGGAATGGCCCTGCGCAGGTGCAGGGGGAGGCCAGTGCCACGGTCCTCTGCCTTCGGAGGAGCGCAGGCACCTTGTGGTGGGCGTGTGGCTCCCCACTTGCCCCCCGGGCAGTTCCCCTGCAAGGCTGCTTCCTGACGTCAGCCCCTCCCCCCCTTTGAGCAGGATTGACAGAGAAGACACTAAAGCTAGCTTTACAAAGCCCAGGGCTTTCAGCAAAGGCAGTTTTAGGGGAAGGAAAGGGTGGTTTTGAAATGAGCCTTTCTAACGTTTCCCTCATGATACTCATCCGGAGATTTGCCTGCCTCAGGTGCCCTGATATTCAGAAGTGCATCGAGTGTTACTCCGATATCAGGACGTTTGCGAGCCACTTCCCCGCCTACGTCCGCTGCAGCTTATGCAGATACAGCACCAGCTGCAGCAAAGCCTATGTGAATCATATGATGAGGTAAGGCATCTCCAGGAGGGCCGCGGGCCTCTTCTCCCTTCCTGCGGAATTGGACGGGAGGAAAGGTTCCTTTCTTCAGGATCTCTGTGTAAGCTATCGTGGTTTCCTTTCAGTTTCCATAGCGCACGTCAGACTAAAAGATTTTGGATTTACAAGACTCATTCAGATAACTTGAGGTAACCATTTTCTCCTTTCTGTCTTTGGGGTTCTGTGTTTTTGCTGGCTGGACAGCCAAAGATTCAGGAGGACTAGCCTCCTGGCCTCTTTATCTGGAACGTACAGCCCCACTGATGGCTGAGCTGGATTTAAAATTTGTGCAGATTGTCTTGATTTCACCTGACCTCTGTTTGCTACCTGAAACTCTGGTTGGGAAACTCACAATTTTGTGTATATCTCTCTGTATACACTGCTCCACTGCTCCTGGCAGAGCAAGGCAGGCCTTGTCCAAGAGGGCCCCGGGGACTTTGCTGAGCAAGGAGAAGCGCTGCCTCCCCTTGTGCGCATGCGCTGTGGGAAACATCCCTGCAAGAGCATCCTTGCACTCTGACTTAAAAAGTGGCTGGAAGTCGGCTGCCTCTGAGTTGATGAGTTTCACATCAGTCGTCGTATCGCTGTGCACATTTGGCTGTACTGGACGCGCGGACCTGTAGGCAGGAAGAGTGTTTGGCCCTCGTGACTGACCTGCACTCACCTGGCTGGCTTCTCTGTTCCTCCCTTGCCTCCTAGGGGGACCACAGTGGTTTGTCTTAACTGCGACTTCCTAACCGACGCCTCTGGCGTGGATAAGATGGCTGCCCACTTGAATGACAATGACACTCATACCTGCCAGATTGTTGCGGAAAACGGTAGGTCCCTCGGTTTGTCTGACATGGCAGTCAGCGCTGGCCCCGTCTCCTGCCCGTTACGTTTCACATGATGGACTCCTCGTCTTTTTCATTCCAGTTCCCTTGGACTCCCGTGCTGTCGCTGCTGCGGCCCTTCCTGAGTAAGTCTTCCCTAAAGATGGTTTCCGCCTGCGAGGTGGGCTGTTTGGACTCTTTGATTCTGCCTTAGAAGGCCGTTGATGCTTAATTTAGTGTAGGGAAAAATGTTCGGCTACACTCGTGACTGAAAATGCCAATCCCAGTTTTGAAACTTAATCTGCCGAAGGGCCAGAACCCAGAGAATCAACCCGATTTCCCCACAAGGCTCGAAGGGGGGCCTTTGGACTTGCCTTTCTCGAACAGGAACTTTCAACCCCCAATTTAATGGCAAACCACATTCGAACCCTGAGGGGGCCTCTGAAAGTTCCTAAATGTGGATTTCTAAAATCTAGCTGGAACACTGGTGCCATAACCATATGAACCTACCCGGCAGTTAAGATCTAGCCAGGGGGCCCTTTTGAAAGAGCCGTCCCTTAAGGAGGTAGGCAAAGGGCCTTTTCGGCAGCTGCCCCCAGACTATGAAATGCCCTCCCAACTGAGATTCGTCTGGCGCCGACGCTGATGACATTTCGGCACCAGGTCAAAACCTTCCTGTTCCAGAAGGCTTTTAATTGAAATAATATTAGCTGTGGGTCCGATGGCAATTTTAATTGTATTTTAATTGTATTTTAATTATTTTATCTTTTACTGTATTGAATTTTAATTATTGTAAGCTGCCCAGAGACCTCTGGGTAGTGTGGGCGGCATATAAATTGAAAAAAATAAAATCACGTAATACTGTACAGTTTAAATAGAGGTGGTCAAAGAAGCTCCAGTGGCAGGGAGTCCCACAGCTGAGCTTGAAGGAACGAGTAACTAAAGATGTCGTGAAATCAGCAGCTGAATCTTTTCTTCCATTGAGAATGGAGGACGACAGCAACTGATCATTTGACATTTAGAATACATTTTGGTATACTTTTGTATGTGGAAAATAGGCCATATATCAATAATAATGTATATCGTTTCATTCCTTAGCCAATCCAGCGGTGTGTTGTTGAATAATGAAAGTGATGGAAAATCCCAGGTAAGAGTCGTCTTTTTCCCCCCCCCTTTTTTTAAAAAACGAGTCCACATCTTCCCTTTGGGCAGACGGAGAGGGGATAGAAGCTGCCGCTACCACCGCAGAAGGGCCCTTTTCATAGTGGCAGCAGCTCTGAGGAGGAGGGGCTACTTGGGCTGGGGGGCCTCTCCTTTTGGGTGGGGTTGGGGGGAGGAAGCCCCCCACCTGCTGTTGTGGGTGGAGAAGGTTTGGAGGGGCTCCTTGCTGTGGGTCTGCTTCCTGGGGTCGGGAGTTCCTCAGGTCTCCAGAGCAGTGGGATCTGGGGAGGTCCCTCGTCTTCCATCTGCATGAAGTAACATCGCATCCCCGGCGGAGCGCAGGAGACGGGCGTGCCCAGGGAGCAGCCCTCCTGGCTGGGCAGGATTCTGGGAGTTGTAATCCAATAAAAGGAGAGCACCCCATGCCCATTTTTCTCGAGCAGTCACAGTCAAGACAGCTGGGCAGCCGCTTGCGAGAGGGCACCGGCAAACAGGACGGTTTCTCTTGCAGAAATGTTCACGGCGCAGCACTCCCGGAGAGCAGGAAGGGGCCTCCGTCTCCAAAAGGTAACTGGCAAGGGCCGGGCTGTCTCTTCCCTAGTGAGCTCAGGGCTTCCATGAGGGGCTTTGGCCGTTGGCTGAGCTGCTCCTGCCGTATCTCTGCCCTAAAAGGTTGTCGCGTGGGGTGCTGTCTTTCGGAGGACTCTGAGCGAAGCTTCAGCAGCAGGGCGGGGAGGGGGGGGAACGAGTGGGCAGAAGCCAACGGCAGGGAGCTTCTGCACCAACCTCTGAAGGCTCCCTTTTGCAACCAGGGGGAGGTTCCCCCTCACAAAAAAAGGCCCATACACAGAGATATGGAGATTTTCTTACCTATTTTCAAGCAGACAAGAATGTTGCGTGGCAGTAAAATAATAAGTTGCTTGTTTTGCCTTCTCTTCAGCGCTCGGATAGACAATGGGGTAGAAGCGGAAAACCAGGATCCTTTGGGGAAGCCGAGTGATGAGGCTGCTTGGCTTCTTGAAAGTGCAGAACCTAAATCGCCCCTGGAAGGAAACAGTTTTGCACCAGGGCCTCCGGTTTGTGCCACAGACGCTGCCGAGCCTGTGGAAGAAGAGGCGAGAGGGGCCCTTGGGGTTCCCCCCAGCGAAGGGGCTTCCATTTCGAAGGGGGAAGAAGAGCTGTCGCCAGTCTCTGAGGAGGTCTCCGGCCCAGGGCCCCAGGGCTGCTCTCAAGGCAGGGGTGCGGAAGAAGGAGGTGCTGCCGGCCTTGGGAATAAAACCGAGCGTGGCCTGATAGCAGCGGAAGGGGAAGAAAACGCCGCTCTACCCATGGAGGAAGATTCCTCTCCGGTGGAGGCCCATCCCTGCTCAGAAGGCTCTGCAGGAGAGGCCCGTGCCGAAGACACAGCAAGTCAAAGAAAGGAGTGGGAAGAAAAGATTTCTCCTTCAGGCCTGGCAGGCGCCTCTCGTTCAGGACCCTCTGCCCACTCAGAGGACCCTGTAGGTGCCACCAAAGAAGGCAGTGTGGGTTATCTGGCGGATCAGGAACAGGGGGGTCTCGCAGCGGAGTGTGAAGGAAATGCCCCCCTTTCGGTTCTGGGAGACACCTCCAGTCCAGGACCCTCTGGTGGCTCAGAGGATAAAGTGGACGGTGGCCAAGATGATGCTGCCGGCCGCCTTATAGCTCCAGGCGGTGACGGTCTGGCGACTGAGTGCATAGAAAGGACTCCCCCTTCAGCTCCGGAAAGAAGCGCCTCCGGGACCCCCGCAGACCCAGCCGAAAGCGACGGCGAGGTGGACAGCCTGGCCAGCCGAGGGGAGGCTTTCCCCGCTGCTGAGGGTGGAGAAGAACCCTTGCCGCCTTCCGCTCCAGAAACGCCCTCCCTTCGGGTTTCTTCCCCTTGCGCAGCCGTCCCTGCAGATGCTGCCAGAGAAGGAGATGGGGGTGCCCTGGAAAGCGAGGCGGAGGAAGCTTCTCTGGCTGCCGAGGGTGGAGAAGCGTCCCCTGCCTCAAGCCCAGAGGAGCCCTCCCTTGCAGGAGCCCAGGGCTGTCCAGATGACCCTTCGGAAGAAACAACACGGGGCCAGCTTGGAAATAATGGAACCCAGGCGTGTGAAGGAAGCCCCCCCGCACCCTCTGTAGAGGATGGCCCCAGGCCGGGGCTTCAGGCGGGTCCGGCTGGGAGCCCGAGCCGTGAGAAGGCAGCCCTGGAGGGGGATCCTGCTGGAGGTGATGGGGAAGCCTCCTGCCAAACTTCGGAGGAGGCTGCTTCGGAGGTCCAGGCCGGGAAGTCTCCTTCAGAGGAAGGAGAGCTGGTGGACGTGAAGTTGGTCAACACAGACCCGACCTCTGATGAAGATGTCAGCTTTGAGCAGTTTCTGAGCAGGAACGGGGAATCGGTCTCGGCAAACTCCGACACGAGCGAGCAAGGCAGCGTCCATCTGGAGCCCCTGACCCCCTCGGAGGTGCTGGAGCACGAAGCGACGGAGATTCTTCAGAAAGGGGCCGCGGCGGCCGTAGGGACCGGGGCGGAGGCCGAACAGACCGAAGGAGCTTCCTCCAGAGAAGGCAGCCCTGTCCCGGATGCGGCTTCGGGAGGGACGGCAGAAGGAGGAGGCAGCGATGAAGCGAGCTGAAGGCAGCCACCCTGGCAGGGGGCTAAGCTGTGGCTGATGGTCCCCCACCTCCACCCCGGTGGACTTGGTCCGGGACGAGTCAGATCCACGGGTCATCCGGGAGCCAAGAGCCGCCAGCCGTGAGCCTGCCGGCCGTCTCACCTGCCAGGCCCAAAGGAGGAAGAGCTGCTACAAACGTTATTCTGAATAAGATCCATTTAGGAATCACTTTGATTTTAGTACTTGAGTGGCTGTGCTCTGTCAGGAGCATGTCTCTCCTCCCCCCCATCCCCAACCCCACACCCCATGTCCCTTGGGAAAATGTGAAACCTTGTTTGCATGTTGCGTCTCTGTCGCAATCATCAAACCATGTGGAGAGGACTTTCCGAAGCTCTGGCACCTCTGGATTGGTGTGATCTTACAAGATAATAAGCTAACTTTAAACTTTCAGTGAAAGTGATTTTTTAAAAAAAGTTTAAATCTATTGGGGGGCTTTCCCAGGGTGCAGTCTGGGTGGAATCCTGACACACTGCTTGTAGGAGAGCGGGCCCGCGAGGGCTTGTGTCTTTTTGAGATTGTTACAGTTTTTATTTACCTCTATTGGCAGCAGGACCTGAAGCCTCAGAACCAGCTGGAAGGAACCCAGAACCGGAACTGGGAAGGTGCAAATGGTTAGCAAAGCAAGGCAAAAACCAGACTAGGAAGCGTTGAAGTCAGGTATTGACATGTTTGTAGTCTGAATTTATGGGAATCAAACAGAAAGGAAGTTGGGTGGGTGGGGGCTGGCATGAAAGTTCATTTTCCAACGTAGACAGACAGGTAAGGAAGTTACATACCGTGATTTAATAGTAGTAGTTTGCTTTTTAAGTATTAACAAGCGTAATTCAAATCCTGTACCTGAATCTTTTAGAAAAGTGATATTGAGGTTTGTTTTTATTGAACTTAAATGTTTTGGACTTCTGTTAAGACACTGATGTACATATTTTGGAGTAAATATTTGCAAGAAAATACGATGATTTTAATTTTGTTTTTACTGTTCATAATGCGTTTTACTTAAAACACATGCACTGGGCTGAGGTCTCCCAACCTTTATTTTTTTTAATGGAGCTGTGATTAATCCACTTTTTTCTTTGGGAGGGGCTGAAGGGAGACCCTGTTGATGCGGCTGGAGGATGCTTGGCCCCACTCTTATGCTGCGGCGTCGTATGACTGCCCAGGAGCCGTGTTCCACGCTGCTGCGCCCTGTGGGAGAGGCGGAAGGGCCCTCCTGCCTCCGCTCCAGAGCTGGGTTGTGTTGTCCCGAATGCTTGCCACGTGCCTCCGCCCCCGAGGTCAGCTTCCTGCATGTTGTTTGGAGGCTGCTTCAACACGACCCTCTCCCCGGTGCCCCGATTTACTTATTTGCAAAGCAGAATTCATGTCTCTAGGGGCACCCCGGAGCTTGCGGTCTGAGCCCAAGAGACACCCTGGCTTTGGGCCCCATTGAGAGCCGGCAGAGCAGAAGGCAGACAGAGAGAATTTATGAGACATTGTCCCGCAGCAGGTTCTCTTGCACAATCCCCTCTGGGAGTCGGGAGGATTTGCATCCATGGACCTTCTGCAGGAGAACTCCCCAGTGGATTGTGGCTCGCCTTGATGAGTGGGTAGCGCTTGATTCCACGCGCACAGCTCCCCCCCCCCCGCCCCGCCCCCCCCCTTGAAGGACAACAGAAAATGTGATGAGATGAGAGCGGAGAGCTCTCTCGGGAGCGGGATGGCTGCTGGCGAGCCAGGCTGTTTTCCCAAGGACTGGGGCACTGTGTCCAAAGCACAGGGTCTCTTTTCCTTTGTTTCAGCCGCGGCCGTCTTGGCGTAAGACGGGATCTCGGCCATGCTCCCTGCAGTCCAGCAAATTCAGTAATGAGCTGAGACAGCTCTGGATGTGGCAGCCGTGCCAGCGCCTGAAACCCTCACATCTGATGAAGGTGGTGTTATTTATTTATTTATTTTCCCCCGCTGGTAGAAAGAGTCAATGTAATTGGGCCACCTTCTCTTTTATGAAACACTGGTGCACAACTACTAACAAATGAGTTGCGCCTCGGGCTGTGTGAAGATGTTTCCTGTTCTCTGGGAAATTAAATCCAAGAGCCTTATTGTCAGTGAAACATGATAGGTTTATTAACGGCTCAGCAAAAAACAGCCTTTGCCAGGCTGCTTTTTATCTGGTGCAATTTTTCTCCTTAATCTGAATAGTGTGTATGCGACACAGGCAGTGAAACATCTGGACAGGGTGATTTGCTTTTCCTTGCCTGCACCTGCAAGCAGAAGTATGCAAGCCGAGGATAAATTAAATCTTTTGCAAAGTGAGGGAGAGAAGGAGGGAGAGCCCGCCCCCATCTAGCCCTGAAGCCCGAGTGCAGAGCTGTAAACACACTTGGGAGGGATTTAATTCTTCTGACAGGCGCCAGTGGTGGCACCTCACACAGGCTCCGCAGATGCCCTCGTCTCAGCGGACGCATCGCAGGAGACTTAATGCCAATCTGCCAGGGCTCCGAGCGCCGCAGCCTTCGTTTTCATCTAAAAATAGCCCCGCGATTTGGGATGAACTTTTGTCATTATCACGATTCCTGGAATTAGAATCGACTAGTTCCCCTGAAACCCCAGTGGTTGCAGATGGTGATTTTCATACACCCAGAAATATTGTAATCTAAAACTTTCAGCCTGCTTATTAGCCCATGGCAGGCTGTCAAAGTGGTTTTAGTGTGACACAATTAAAATATAAAGCGATGAAAATTTAGTTGCAGCTGACCTGACATGATAAGAGTCTGGGAGAGCGTTCTGGGGTTTGGTTTTGTTTTTTGGCTCTGTGGGTGCCTCTCCTTGTGGGGCCTCCCTGTTCTTCCAGCAGTGGTTGGTCAAGGTTTGTGTTTGTTTCGTGGCAGAGCCCCGTTGCTCTCCATGGTTTGGGACACGGAGGGCGTCTCTTTTCTTTCTGCCTGTCCTGTCACGCTGTCTCTGGTCTTTCCCTTTAACTTGTCCCTGCGAGGAAATTGCACTGTGAAGGAGAAGCTTGTCTTGCTGAACCCAAAGGGACACGAGGGGGCCGGGTGGAGGACCATGGTGTCATCCTCCCTCTTTGGGCAAACCAACTGGCCTCTCGGATTCTTCCCCACCCCCGCATATTTCAGACAAAGGGGGGAGCCTTTGGTCCTGGGCTTAAGCCCATCCTTGGCCTCCCAGAGTCCCTTGGGGCACAGGATTTTTGAGAGACTTAAGGAAGAGAGTGATGAAATGAACAGGGCAGTATCAGAGTGGAAATAATAAATACAGAAATAAACCTCTCAGCTGTGTGGAAAAAGGGGAGGGAAGAGATGCCCTAGGTGAGGTAGCAAAAGGGTTTGGTAGGGCAACCTTGGCCAGGAGGGTGACCTTCTCTTAACAGAGTTTGGGTGTGCAGGATTCTACAGCACAAGGACCTGCTGGTCTTCTGGGAAGCTTCTTCTAAGCTTCAGTCGGAGGAAGTGGGCTTGTCCATGAAAAATCACATTAAAATATGGCATCTATTCTTCAAGGTGCTGCGCCGGTTTTTTTTTCCTTTCCATTTTTTTCCCTTTTGCTCTCACTTCACATTGCAAGTACCACAGGGTTAGAACGCAGTTGCCGCCTCCCGTGCTTGTCTGTGCCCAGGGGTGCGTGCTGGTAAGTTTTGCTTCTTTCAGCTGGGCCATGAATTTTGCCTGGTGGCTGTGGGCCGCTCCCCTGGGAGGCGCTGGGAATAGCCCTCTCCTAAGAAATAGGTTCCGCTCGTTCTATTGGAGCCTGGCCTCAAAGCACAGGGCTTGGTCTCCAGCTCCCCCTCCGTTATCTGGGCAGCCTGGCCCAAAGAGTTTGGCCCCATCGCCGTCTGGTGTTGGTGGGGGTTGGGGAAGCTGTAGCAAGGCAGAAAAGCAGCGTCCGGCCTTTGCTTCCCTACGGGCACGGGGTTGGCCCTACCCAGAAGAGAGTGGTTTTGTCCTACCTCCAGGCCTGTGAGAGGGCAATTCCCCTTTGGGTACCAGAAAGGGGAAGGGAGGTCCGGCCTCTTACCTGCAGCAGCAGCAGCAGCAGCAGTGCCTCCTCCTCCTCCTCCTCCTCCTCCTCCCAGGTCCCGGGAGGGCTTCCAGGCTCCGGCTTCGGTGCTTGGGCGCCCTCTGCTGCCGAAAAGGGTCATAGGCAGGCTGAGAAGACATGCCGAGAGGCCCTAAGAGGCTCCAGAACACGGCCGACCCAAAATGGTGCAGTTTTCCAGCAATGTGACAAACCCAGACCTACTGGGATATGTCACACAGTTACACTAAGCTGCCACCAACCATTCCCTATAAGAAGTCACACAGACCAGGGATGGATTTTTAAACAAATAAAGAATAAGGTTTATTTAAACACAACACACAGAGATAATAAAATGATTAGGTGAATAAAATAAAGTAACGTGGCTTATTCTCACTCATACAAGCATACAGTTTGGTTCACACAGAACCCTTAACTTGAAGCACAGACCCTGAACCTATCAGTTGACTAAAAGTTTCTTTGTTATTATTGCATGTTGTTTATTCTTACAGGCACGTGAAAGAGTGGCATCTATAACTTGTGGCCTTCTGGCCCAGAGTGCATTCAAGGAAGACGAGGCCGGGGTGGCCCTCTTGGCCGGCTCCCCTGCCTGGGGTGGCCCCTGGCCTCCCCTTTCGCCGCCGCCGCCGCCGGGCATCCTCGCCTGGGTCTCAGGGAACCCGTCCCCCCCCTTCTTTGGCCCAACGCCCGTTCCTAAAACACGGCTCTGTGTGTGTGTGTGTGTGTGTGT